AAACATTTTTGACTTTTTTTTTAATCTTTCCTACTGTAACTCGCAACACATTCTTAGACTTTTATTCTACTTCTTGCAGAGCGCAAGAGTCGAAATCCACATCTAAAATTACATGTTTTCACCTCTAATCTCTTTAAAAATGCGAGAATTCAAACTTCCTATTTCTCTTTTCCTAAATAAAAAGAGTGGTCACTCGAACAAATTTCGGTAGTTAACCATTTCTGACTTGACTGAGTAAAATATTGGGTTGGGTGTCTTTGTCACGTAGGTCATATCTCAACTCAACTTTTTAAGTGCACGTGTCCGAATGGGCCCACGTTTCAATTTTTTTCTGTCTCCTCCATCGCTCTGTGCTCCACTATTTTCTTCAGTTTCTTTATGCCTTTTGAGTTCATGGACGACCATGACCCGGGGCGGGATAAGGACATTAAAAGTACCTTAACTTTTATATAACTCTCGCTTAAATATCAAAAAATTGAAAAAGTAATCACTTGAGCGCCAAATGCTATTTGGCAGCTGGAAAATCTAACGTGATTTCGCCGGAGCTGATGTGAACAATATTTTAATATTTTTTTAAATTTTTTATTAAATTTTTTTATTTTTTATTTCTGCAAATTTTTTTTTCAATTCCGGCGAGGGTCACCGGCGACCCTCGTCGGCTGTGAAGGCCTCGCCCAGATTGGGCGAGGGCCGCCATGCTCGTGGCCGCGAAGGCAGTGGGCAAGGCCGTCGCGACCTTGCCGGCGGTGGGCGAGGCCGTCGTAGCCTCGCCAGCGGTGGGCGAGGCCGCGAAGACCGTCTCGCCGGCCGCAAGCAAGGCGGCCTCGCCAAATCTGGTGAAAACCTTCACCGCTACGGGCGAGGCCCTCGCCACCTCGCCCACGCCGACGAGGCCGCGATGGTCTCACCAAGGGCTTTCGCGGTTGCGGGCGAGGCAACCTCGCCGAATCTGGCGAGAGCCTTCGCCGCCGCGCCCACGGCCGGTGAGGCCGCAATGGCCTCACCAAGGGCTTTCGCAGCTGCGGGCGAGGCAACCTCGCCGAATCTGGCGAGAGCCTTCGCCGCCGCGCCCACGGCCGGTGAGGCCACGATGGCCTCACCAAGGGCGTTCGCGACCGCAGGCGAGGGTCACCGGCGACTCTCGCCAACCTTGAAAAAAAAAAGGAAAAATAAAAAATAAAAAGATAAAGAAAATAAAAATCAATAAAATAACATTAAAAAAATCCACGTCGCTCATTCGCCAGAAATGGTACTCAAGTGATCTATTTTCGTTGGAAGTGGCACTCAAATAATATATTTTACTCCGATGTGGCACTTAAGTGAGCCAAAAAAAAGTTATGGCACTCAAGTGAGTGCCGTACGAAAGTTATGACAGTCCTAGTGTCTTTATCCCGGCTTGTGGCCATGAACAGCAGCATCATCGGCCTGTTTTCTTTTCTCACTAGCTCGCGCGACACTCATCCATGGCCGTCGTCATCATCGTCCAGCCAGATCTAGTTAGCTCGGTCAGCGCTAGAGGTGGTAAATGGGTCAAGAACCCATATAATAACCCATATTTAATTATTGTGAATTATAAATGGGTTGTGTTTAGTTTTAGAAATAGACTTAAATGAGTCATTAATGGATTGTTTATTAACTTAATGGGTCCTACATGGATATTAAATGGGTTACCAAAAAAGCTTAAGTGAAATTTTCAATTTTTAATTTTCCGATTTCTATGTTCTTTATATTCTTTTTCTTTTTCTTTTCCTTTTACATTTTCTTTTTTTCTTTTTTCTTCTTCCTTCGCTGGCAGCTGGCCACTAGCAAGCCTTGAGCCTCGCCGATCTGCCGAGGCCGAGGCCTTGCTGGCCTTTGGCAATACTCAAGCTCATCGAGCTGACAAGGCCGAAGCCAGTGCCAGCCCCGGCTCGGCAAGCTCGAGTCTTGCCAGATCCAGTGAGGCCGAGGCCCTGCTGGCCACTGGCAAGCCTTGAGCCTTGCCGATTTGTCGAGGCCGAGGTCTCACTGGCCTCTGGTGCTGGCCTTGGCCTCACCGAGAGCCTCACCGATCTACCGAGGTCGAGGCCTCACTGGCCTCTGGCGAGACTTGAGCTTGCCGAGTCGGCGAGGCCGAGGCCAGTGCCAACCCTAGCTCGGCGAGCTCAAGTCTCGCTAGATCTGGCGAGGCCACTCGCCAAAAGCCGGTGAGGCCTCAGCCTTGCTAGATCTGGCGAGACTCCAGTTCGCTAGTGGCCGCCGAGGTGTCGGCCTCGCCAGATTGGCAAGCTCGTCCCTGGCCTGTGGCTAGCCGTCAACCACTGGCCGGAGGTAGAAGAAAAAAGAAAAAAAGAAAAGGAAAAAGGAAAAGAAAAAAAGAACAAAAAGGAAAAGGAAACGAAAAAAGAAAATTAATTAAAATATGATTTTTTAAAAATAAAATATTAAAATGAGTGCATAAAGGAAAATATGATTTTTCATACCAAACGGTGAAAAATATTTTCTAGTTCATTTTCATATTTCAGCAAAATATCGAAAAATATTGTCATTTTCCTAAAAACATTTTCCAGAAATATTATATTTTCCGTAAAACAAACGGAGTCTCAATTTTTTTAAAAAGATTTGCATTGCTTGAAGATATTTTAGCAATACAATTTTTTAAAATAATTATCAGAAATGAGATTTCCAAAATTTAGTTAAATGGGTTGGGTATGGATTGGATTGGGTAATTTTTGCATTATGATAAATTGGTCATAAACGGGTTAAATTGGTCAAGTTGGATCAGACCATTTATGATCCAGTCCACCCATTTACCAAGTCTAGTCAGTGCCGACGACTCCGCTGGTGGCGACGGTGGGAAAGGCGCGGTGGTCGAGCTCAAAGGGAGGGGAAGCCGACATGGTTTTTTCGAGCAAGAGGGATCAGAGGGTGACATCGGAGAACATGGCGTCAAAGGTGGACAGCTCCTCGGCGTCAATGACAGTTGGGTTTTTCGGGAAGAAGGGTTTGGAGGCGTTGAAGGAGCACTTCAAGAACTCCAAGTTCCCAAGCGAGGCGGAGCACTACCTACCGGTGGTGTTCTCGCCCGCCGCAGAACGGGAGGCAACTGGCGGAGCCGCTCCCTGTGGCAGGGCAGCAAAGATTATTTTTCAAACTTCAGCTCCCTCAAGCCACGGGTTCGAATTCTCGCAACTCTCACGAATGGTCCTATCCTCACCAAGAATCCCCGTTACAACCCTGCAACTTCTGCGTGTATATATATAGAACGCAAAAACAGAGCAGTTCAGATCTGGGCGACAGCTCCTTGGTGGCCATCGGCGGGCGGCAGCGGCGGCTCAAGGGCGACAACGGGTGGAGTTGGAGGCATTGTACGTGTAGCGGAGACAGACGCCACAGAGAGCAAGCCGGGCGCCCCCGGCGGGGGTGGGGTGCATGTGTGTGACGTAGGGAAGAGATTAAGATACAAAAAAAAAAAAAATGAAAAGTGGGCTTTGCTCATACACATGGCGATCAACGAGGAAAGTGGAGTGACACAAGATAGGCCTGCTCAATATTTTTTAGAGTTAATATCACAAAAAATTCCTAAATTGATACGTCTGTAATAAATTTATCTAAAACTAATTTTTTGACCAACAACGTTTCCAAACTGATACACCTGTGATAAATTTACCATCCGTTAAATTTTTTTTTTTTGGTAAAGGTAAGATGTTTATAACTTTTCAACGCAAATGTACAAGTGGGAGCCGAACACAAAAACCTTCGAACTAGGATGGACACAAAGTGTCCGACCAGGTTCAACGGTGTTACGGCAAAAGCTGACGAAAACCATCCGTTAAATTTTACTGTCAAATTACTTTATTAAATGACACGCGGCAGTTGACGAATGTGTCGATTTTGGATTTTACCCTCCGTTTGTCACATGTATGCCAATTTGTGATTTTTTCTGATATTAATCAAATTTAACGGAAACTAACGGAGGGTAAATTTGTCACAAATGTATAAATTTAGGGTTTATTGTGATAAAAAAATTAATTTATGATAAATTTGTCACAAGTGTATAATTTTAGATTTTTTATGATCAAAAAATTAATTTGAAATAAATTTATCATAAGTATATCAATTTGAAATTTTTCGTGATATTAATCCTGTTTTTTTGCACAAAACTATGGCTGACTCGTAGATTTTCTATGTGCGACTCGGACAATTTAGTACGGAGCTGCTTTTCCCCCGACTGACACCAAATATGCCCCTGCCACCGCCCTTTGTTCCTAGCAAACTTAAATAGACGAACTTGTCCTCTATGAATAAGGGCAACTGGTTTTCTCCAGAGTTCCTGTTTTATCTTTTTGGCCGAACCTCCATCTCCGAAGTTCAGTCTCCTCCTCGTCGTTTTGCTTCCCTGTTGAGCCGAAGTACTCATTACACACTCGAATGAAAAGTACCATTACCGAGAAGGAGCCCTCGATTAGAGGAAGGAAATAGAAGGATATAGTGGCACGTTCCTTTGTTGTAATATTCAGCCACGTACAAACTCTCATCGAAATCCAATTAAGGCTCTCCGTTACATTAACAAGGCACATTACTCGATCGTCTCCTAAGTTGAAGTTAACTCAAACAATCACAATTTCGTATCTTTTGGAACATTTGTTGCAAAACAAAATGAAAATGGATTAGAAACGGAGTAAAGCTCGGTGAAAGGGAAAATAAGTAAAGACGCGATTTGAAATTTATTATTCATTTCATTGTGACACCTATCCTAGAAGAGAGAGATTGTGACAACTAAGAAGATTTCAATCAGAGGCAGCTTGGGATACTGTCGAGGGCGTTTTTGTTATTCCAGTATTTTAATGTGTAGCAGGCTGTGGAAGAAGCAATTATTTTGTTTTTTGGTCCAAATGGAAGAAGCAATTTGAGGGGTGTAATACGTGCCCCTCTTCCAGGAAGGTGAACCCCCCTTTGACCAACGTGTATAAAGGCTTCTCCTCACTTCAACAATTTCCTTGACTCGGGCTTCTCTTGCAAGCCATTCCTCCCTCTGTTTCTTAACTCCGAGTAGTCTTCGTCAGGAGCTTCCTCGTCCGCTTAATTCCATTGTTGGATTAATCTCTGGTTGCGGTATTTCATTTGGAGGATTTAGCAGGTAAGTTTACTGCAGATTAGTGCAAGTTTGGAGCTCTCTTTTCTTTCCTAAATTTTCCTGCGCTCTTCATGTAACTGGTGCCAGTAAATTGTCATACCGATTTTTCCTCGATTTATTCGGCACATCCTTCACACGAGGACCGAAAAGAAAATTTACGTCCTGTGTTGTGTTGTTTGTCTGTTCTCTCTTTTGTAGATCTGTTAATTCTCGAGCAAATAAAGATACATCGTTATGTTTGTTTTTCTTTACGTTTCTTTTCCTTGCCAAAAGAATTACTTCGTTCTAATAAACTTTCCAGAACAGAGCAATTAGAAACAGAAGCTTCTAAAAAGAAGAGAGGACCATCCATAACCCTGTTATCCCACTCCAGTTGGCCTCCCCTGCCTTCTGATTCACGTTATGTGAGCTTGAATTTCCCTTCTTGCGTGGTATCTCCTGCACAGTCCCATAGAATAATAGGCAGATTTTGCTGTAAGTTGCCCACCGATAGTAAAACCTAGAATAGTCAACTTCTTATCACTGCCCAGATTTAGTTTGATGGTGAGAAGTCCCCATGCATTTGTATAGCCTTGTCGATTTGGCGCTCCGCGCTTCCTCTACTGTTCAAGTGCGCTTCCTCTACTGTTCAAGGGCGCTTCCTCTACTCCTCTACTGTTCAAGCGCGCTTCCTCTACTGTTTAAGCGGAAGCTTTAGCCATGACAGAAACCCTCAAGTACTTTGAAGACAGAACGGAACTGAAGTTGGAGATGGAAGCTTTAGCCATAAGAGAAACCCTAAAAATATCTTGTGATGCTGGACTCCTTCCCTGTTATTATTAGTCTACAAGGCAAGTCACGATCCATGTTATTCAAATAGCAACAAAACCCCTCTTTCCCATGACTTTTTGCTAAATACCCCGCTCAAACCTCTCATGGCCTTGCTCAAACCAATCTAAGCAGCAAACCGCTCTTTCAGTTCCTTGTTCTTAATCCTCATTTAACAAAAACGTTCATGAGCAATCACAATATTGTCCTGGAATAGTGTAACATGGACAAAAGCACATTGATTACCGGAGATGCTGTCAGGAAGTAAAAGATTCAGCCTATTCGCAGGATTTTCATATGATTCTGGACACAAACTACCCAAACCAACTGGACTAAAGTGATAAAACTCCTCAGGGAGTCAATTTCTCAGAATCAAAATGATATTTCTCAAGTTTAGTAGAGAAGGATGTTCACCTGCATGGTAGATACCGATGACTTCTTTAGCTGTTGAAGGCCCAACACTAAGTCTCAAAAATTCTGAAAGATCATTCCTGCAAAGCCATCAAGTCAAGGAGTTTTCAAGGCACCCAACTGGAACATAGCTTGCCACACTTCTTCCTCTGTCACATCCTCTGTTTGTGCACGGTTATTATCCTCACCTATAACTTTTATTAAAACTAGATGCTATCAAACTCGAAAATTATTGCATAGATCAGGTGCACGGACTTTGATACCACATGTACCGCTGAATTTGGTGGGCTACATGATAATATTGGTCAATAGGGACTAGGGTGAATGAATTGTTACTATACACTCTATACTAAATGACGTAAAATCACAGTTCTTACCTATGTCGTCTTTTTTTAATATTATAAAAGTTGGATCTGATACAAAGAGTGAATCCCTTTAATTCACCGATAATCACATTCCACATCATTTGGTAAACAAAATTTAGTACGTTTTTCTTAGTTTCTATAGCATTCTGACTCTCTATATAGTCCTGTTTTCTGTGTTTTTTCAAGGCACCCAACTGGAACTACCTTGCACCTCGAACACTATTTAACAATTGACAGTTCGGAAATGCTGAAGTACTCGATGATCGCATGCTGAAAACTAAAAAGTTTTGAACCTGGAATACTAACTGACAACATTTTCCCCCTAATGTTCTCAGCATTCTCACAGTGGATGTCAACAAAATTCTCCGAATCACCAAACATGCCATCAGTCTTGTTCGAAAGGTCAGCGACGTCACAGATATATTCTCAAGGATACGAGAAAGCTGGATCTTGAGATATTGGTTCATTAATTTGGTGTTTGGTTAGCTAACCGTCAAGTACAACCGACCTTGATTGGCAAAATCAATCTAAACAGAGCATTGGTCATCCGTTGCAGAAAATCAGAAAATCAGAGAAGGTGTAAAAAGCTGGGGGACAAGTAAATTTCACTATCCACGTGAAAGGGTGCAATTCTTGGTTGGCTATGCGTTCCTATCGGTTCAGAGTTGAAAAAGCAAGAAGCTAACATTCTCAATTCATTTTGGGACACTAAAATGAATAGGAATTTGAGAGAATGCTTCTGGTGGATTAACATGAAAAATGATGTCAACAAGTGAAAAGTGAGCATCGAAAACCAGTTGGAGCATATTATCATTGGTCTGCCGCGAATGTCAAGTGGTAAAAATGCTATAAATCGATTAACTAAGATGGCTCTTTTTGAAGATTTTTATGGTCGAAAATGTAAAAATCCTATTTGTTGGGATGGTGTTGGTGAAAAGAGACTAAAGAGTCCAAAGTTTATTCAACAATTAGAAGAGAAAAATAAGTTGGTCCGAGAGCGTCTCAAAACGGCACAAAGTTGTGAGAAAAGTTACGCAAACTTTAAAAAGCGGGGAGTGAAATTTAATATGGGGATTGCGTGTTCCAGAAAGTTTCTCCCATGAAAGGCGTTATGAGACTCGGCATGCGTGGCAAGTTAAGTTCAAAATATGTGGGACAGTTCTTGATTTTAAGAAGATTGGCGATTTTGCATATAAACTTGCTTTGCACCATGTGATATCCAAAGGGAACAACCACACTCCGAGTGATTGATTGGGCACTCGAGGAGGAAACAAGGCGCAAATGTCATCATTTGTTTGAAAGTTGAGGTAAGGTGCAAAAATATTTTTATTGCATTAACGAATTTTGTTGGATACATTAAATGTTGATTGGCATTGTCTTGATTGCTTTTGAAAATTCATTGGAATTACCTTTTTTGGCTTCAATGAGTCCAAACATATAGCAATTCATCTGATATTTCTTAGAGAAGCAACCCCTTTGACGAAATTAAAAAGAAACGTGAACATTTAGTTATCATTACCAAATGAAGATAGGTTAATTAGATGTCAATCTAATATTAATTTTTCTGATTTTTTTGGTGAAACAAAACCTAGGCTTTTTTCTTTTGTAAGTTTTGAAATTATATGTAATATTTTTGTTGATAATCTACTCATTTTCATCATTTAAATTTTATTCATCTATTTGTAAGATTTGCATTGACCAAAAGATAATTGTTTGTAAGAATTTCTTCAAGACTAATCGAAGTGGCTCATTTTCTTTAAGAAATATACTGTAATTCTTAAGGGAAAATTTTAAATAAGGATTCGAAGTGCTCTCATTTTCTCAAATAAGGACATGAAGTGAATCTTGTGTCAAAAAAGGGCCTAAAGTGCCTTCATTTTCTCAAATAAAGATATGAAGTGAACCTTATCTCAGATAAGGGTCTGAAGTGACTATCACGGTCTCAAAAAAGGGTCTAACCTTACCGGAGTTGAGGGCATTTTTGTCTTTTAATTTTTTTTCTTTCTTTATTTCCTTTTGTGTTTTTTTTCCATAAAAAACAAACTCAAAAAAAAAAAAAAATAGGGGGAGGGCCAACCCTCCCTCGCTTGTGGCCACCGGCCCACTGTGGCCGCCGCCCCATCGCCAGTGGAGTAGCGGCCATGGTCGGCGGGGTTGCCGGCGCTTCAGCGAGGCCCGGTGACCCTCGCCAGATCTAGGAGAGCCTGACCCTCTCCCAGATTTGGCGAGGGCCGCCGGCCTTTGTCCCGGTTTGGCATAGGTCTGGCGGCCCTCTCCTAGACTAGGGCAAGGGCTGGTGACGCTCGCCCAGACCTGGGCGAGGGCCGACGACCCTCGCCAGATCTAGGAGAGAGTCGCCCGACCGTTCCGGTTCTGGTGAGGGTCGCTAGCCCCCGCTGAAGCGCCAGCAACAACGCCGGCCATGGCCACCGCCCCACCGACAATGGGGTGGCGGCCACAGGCGGGGGAGGGCGACCAGCCCTCCCCTGTTTTTTTCTTTTTTTGAAATTTAATTTAACTAAATTTATATTAAAATTATTTTTGGACGAAAATGCCCTTGATAGGCCAGAAAATTTCGTCGGCCGGTGAGCCGGTGGAGTGAGACCTTTTATTTGAAACTGTTATAACCACTTTAGGCCCTTATTTGAGAAAAGAGAGCACTTCAGGTCCTTATTTGACACAAAGTCCACTTCAGATCCTTATTTGAGAAAATGAGGGCACTTCGAGTCCTTATTTGAAATTTTTCCAATTCTTAATTCACAGTTTGTTCTAGTCAATCATAAAGTGATAGGAATTATAAATAGGACATAAAATTTTCGTTCTTATATATTATATTTATTTTTTAAAATTTAATTATTTGTAAAAACCGCCTATAACTATTCTAATAATCCTCTAATAGCATTTTTCCAACATGGCCTATTATATTATATATGATTTTTTTTTATGATCGTCTCACATCATTTATTTGCAGGAAGATTTTCTATATTGTATTTTCTAAATGGATCATTGTAATTGGGCTAAATACTTAGGGTTAATACAACGAAAAATCCCAAATTAGTACACATGTAACAAATTTACCCAAAACTACCAAAACCCTAAATTGGTACACTTGTGACAAATTTATCCTCCGTTAGTTTCCGTTAAAATTTACCGTCAAATTGTTGAGTTGGATGACACATGGCAGTTAATGGGTGCACCAATTTGGGGTTTTACCCTCCGTTTGTCATAGTGTGCTAGCTTGTAATTTTTCGTGATATTAATCCAATTTAATGCAAACTAACGGAGGATAAATTTATCACAGGTGTACTAGTTTGGGGTTTTTTGTGGTAAAAAAATTAGTTTTTGGTAAATTTGTCACATGTGTATCAGTTTAGGATTTTTTGTGATCAAAAAAATTAGTTTAGGGGTAAATTTATCACATGTGTATCATTTTGGAGCTTTCGTGATATCACCCAAATACTTAATCTTGTCTGTTTCAACAACTTTTCAATTTTCGACAAAAAAAAACAACTTTTCATTTGAGTTCCGAAAGGGAAAAAGATAAATAGTATAAACCTATCCCCTGTAGACTAGATATACGTCAGAGCAAGTCTCAAGTCTCAAGTCGTGCGGTGACCCTCCCAAAGTCTTTTAGCTATCTTCCGAGAAGGCGAATATAGGATTCGCGGCAAGTTCTACTGTTTTTCTGCGATTTTTAATCCCATGACGAGAGTATTATGCAATAAGTAGGTTTTACTACAAAAGAGAGATTTCGTACCGATGATGTGATTGTTTCACCTAAAATTAATGATTTGAAAAATATTTTTTTAAAACCGATTATATGTATCACTTAGAATCACTAACTAACTGAAAATATTTTCATCATTAATAATAATTTACGTCTAAATATTTTCGTCGATTTATTTTATAAGCGATATAAATGATCATTTTTGAGAATTTTTTTTTCACGAATTATAGATTTACTAAACGCACCCAAAATTCATTTGATTGCGAAATTTGTCATATCTTCCAAAGACGTCGATTCATGCGACATGATTTGATCCTGAATCGGAAATAGTCTCAAATATTTTTTAGAGTTAATATCACGAAAAATCTCAAACTGGTACACTTGTGACAAATTTACTCCAAATTAATTTTTTGACCACCAAAAATCTCAAACTGGTACACCTGTGTCAAATTTACTCTAAACTAGCTTGTAATTAGTTTTGGGTAAATTACACTTTTGACAAAAAATTTGGGGTTTTTGATGATAAAAAAAATTAGTTTTTAGTAAATTTGTCACATGTGTACCAGTTTGGGATTTTTTGTGATAAAAAAAATTAGTTTAGAGGTAAATTTATCACATGTGTATCAATTTGGGGTTTTCTTAGTATCAACCCAAATACTTAATCTTGTTTGTTTCAACAACTTTTCAATTTTCGACCAAAAAAAACGACTTTTCATTTCAGTTCCGAAAAGGAAAAATATAAAGAGTATAAACCTATCCCCCGTAGACTAGACATTCGTCAGAGCAAGTCTCAAGTCGTGCCGTGACCCTCCCACGGTCTTTGAGCTATCTTCCGAGAAGGCGAATATAGGATTCGTGGTAAGTTCTACTGTTTTTCTGCGATGTTTAATCCCATGACGAGAATATTATGCAATAGGTAGGTTTTACTACAAAAGAGAGATTTCCTACCGATGATGTGTTTGTTTCACCTAAAATTAATAATTTGAAAAATATTTTTTTGAAACCGATTATATGTATCACTTAGAATCATTAGCTAACGAAAAATTTCATCATCAACAATAATTTGCGTTTAAACATTTTCGTCGATTTATTTTTATAAGCAATACAAATGATTATTTTTTAGAAATTTTTTTTCACAAAATATAGATTTACTAAACGCACCCAAAATTCATATGATTGAGAAATTTGTCATATCACATGATATGATCCTGAATCGGAAATAGTCTCAAATATCATTTAGGGTTAATACTACGAAAATTTCCAAACTGATACACCTATGATAAATTTACCCAAAACTAATTTTTTGACTACCAAAACTTCCAAACTGGTACACATATGACAAATTTATCATAAACTAATTTTTTAACCACCAAAAATCTCAAACTGATACATTTGTGATAAATTTACCCTTCGTTTAATTGGATTAATACCACGAAAAATCACAAACTAGTACACCGCTGACAAACAGAGAGTAAAACCCTAAACTGATACACCTATCAACTGCCACATGTCATCCAATTCAAAAATTTGACGGTAAAAATTAGTTTATGATTTTTTGTGGAAGAACAGCCAAAGTGTACTAATTTATGATTTTTTGTGGTCAAAAAATTAGTTTGAAGTAAATTTATCATAAATGTATCAGTTTTAGAATTTTCATCGTATTAACCCTATCTTTCACTATGTATTTATCGGGACGATGCATGGGGCGTCAACTAGTTTTTGACATAAAATCTAAGTTTTTTTGGGGGCGAAAATCCCTCGGATGTGACCCCAAGACTTTGGCTGTTCTTCCAAGAAGGTGGGTGCGAGACTATTGATGATCATTTCGTGCCTGCATATTTATGCAAGAATAAGTTCATACAATGTGATTATAAAAGCAGAATAAGGAAAATCCGGGTCAAGAATTTTCCCAGCGATTCTCCCCGTAGACTTCTTGGTTCCGGCAGCGTCCTAAAAAAATCTATATCTGTCCACTTCACTCTTTATCTCGACTGCACTTCCTCTCCCGCAGCTCCGTTGTCTCTCTGACTCCATTGTTGAATTGATCTCCGGGGAGGAATATCAGCAAGGTTTCACCAGGGCGAGACTGCCTTAGATTAGTGCAAATTTGGAGCTCTCTGTTCTTTTGGTAAGTTTTCCTGCGCTCTCCACGTAACTAGTACTACTGGTCGATTGTCATTTGATTTGGTAAAAACCAAATTCTGTACATTTTTCTCCCCATCTCTAGTTCTGTTCTCCTCTTTTTGTTTTATTTTTCTTTTTTGGTTGGCTGTCCTCCTTTGTTATTGTCCTCGAGACATTTGAACTACCTCGAATTGCTCGAGCCAGTAGCTAGTGAAACGACGTTCGTTAAGAAGAAAAAGACAGAAATGTTCCTTGTACTGATCTCATACCATGCATGTGGCCCATTAGCTGATAAGGCCTTCCCTCACCTGTTTGCGTCTCTTCCATTTGGGCTCATGCCCATCTTCGTCTTCGGTCGTCTTCTTCTTCTTCCAATCTCAAATTCTCTCTCAAACTTCAACCCCCCATCAAAGCCTCCGATTCTCATTCTTCTCCTTTCTACCAGTAGTCGCCCAAGGGTCGTGCGAGGAGGGTCCAAATCTAGCTCCCCTGAGGTCGTACCATCTTGGCGTCGCCTTGCCGATGCTCGCCTCTGGTCGCCCGGTTGCATGGTCGACGCTAGCTCGCCCGGTGGCTGCTGGTTGCCTGGTCGACCCTCGCGCGAAGCTCGCCAATGTCGACCCTCGCGCGAGGCTCGCAGACACTCGCACTGTCGCCACTGGTTGCCTGGTCAACGCTCATGCAAAGCTCACCGACGCTGGAGCGAGGCTTGCCGGATCCCCAGTAACCCGGTCCCCTCTCTTCCCCTTCTTTACTTTTTTTCTTACTGTGGCCGGCGAGGGTCGCCGAGCTCTCGCCCTCGACCGGTCTGGGCGAGGCCAGCCTCGCATTCAGACCCACCACCATCTTCATCATCAACGACCCAAAAGCTGAAGACCGGAAGAGAAATCTTAACCATCATTCGCTGCCTCTCATTCTCGCTTATCTCTCCTGAGTCCTCCATCATCTCCGTGCGAGAACTTCGAATCACTTTCGATTTGAGTGCAATCCTGACCCAAATGTAAAGCACCAATTATTGCGCGAAATCGAAAAAGTTGGCGTCTTTCTTCAGGTGAAATTCTTACTGTCACAACCCAGTTTCGGATTTGAACGAGATCGGATCAGTCTTAGCTCGGATTCAAACACGGTGTTCGACAAAGAAGCGAGCTCGTCGCCGCAGACCCAGAAACCCCTCCCTTGCGAGCACACACCTCTTCTCGGTAAGTCGCCTCCTCTCTCCTCGCAGGCCAAGACCTTTGCTGGCATGGGCCTCGCCCAGACCATGGCAACCGCAGGTGCCGGCGCTTGCCCAGATCTGGGCGAGGCTGGCCTCACCCAAATCTAGGCGAGAGCCTGGTGACCCTTGCCCAATGGCTGGCGAGGGCCCGGCAACCCTTGCCGGCCATAGTAAAAATAAAAAAAAGTAAAGAAGGAAAAAAAAGAAAAGAAAAGAAAAAGAAATTAATTAATTCATTCATTCAAAAAAAATATTAAAATATGTGTTAAAAATTATCCACGTCAGCGCTGCCCGTCCTATTCCGGCCGTGTGACATAAGACGTACAACGTCCACGTCAGTGATTTCCGACCAAAATTGATCGAATGGACTCAATTAGCAAAACGTGAAAATGTTTATGACTCAATTTGTATAATTAAAATGTTTAGGACAAAAGTGCAATAAGTTTAGGACTTTTTGAACCATTTTCGCCCGTCCAAGCGCACCCAAAGACTATTGCAGGTGGAGTCAGCCACCCAAGTTTCGATTTGCACCTTAGCAGGGTCAGGGTTATTCGGGGTAGCTCATGGGCTTGGAATTTCCCAACGAAGGAAGAATGTGTCCTTGGGACGTTCCGACTCTTGCCAATTGCTTCTTTGCCTCAAATTATTGCAGCGTCAGAAGCGAATTGAGTTGTCGTTTTGATTCCCCGCAGCTTCTCCCATAATAAATTCCATCAAGATAACCACATCATGGACTGTATGCTTTTCTTTCTCTAGAGTCCTTCCATTTTCATTCTTCTCTTGCACCTCGAATCCTAATTAGCAACTAACACTCGGAAATATTGGAGTACTCAATTATCGAATAAAAGTCAAAATAGAAAGCTAATGTTAATATATCTAGATAGCTTCTTTACTGAGTTTATATGCTCTTTATGTTCTTATGGTCTGGTTTCACATATAAGTTTTGCTTTTTGGATTGAATTTTCTAACCGCTAAAAAGTTTTGTACGTGGAAATATTAATTAACAACATTTTCCCCCCAATGCTTTCAGCAGTAATACTATGGACGTCAACAAATTTGTGGGAATCGCCAACAATGCCATCAGTGTTGTTGAAAAGGTCAGCAACCTCGGCAGAGTCGAAGCGAAGATGGATGCTCTGCAAAGGAATATGGAAACGGCGTCAGCCAAGAAGGCTGACATAAGTTTGGAACTAGAGCAGGAAGAGAGGAGACCGGGAAAGAAAAGGAAGACAGAAGTTCACTTGTGGATGCAACGAGCAGGATGGCTGGAGGATCAAGTCCACGAGTTAGGACGAAGAGTCAGAGAGAGTCATTTCCTTTTTCGTTTCATGTTGGCGCATCAGGTGCGTGCCCTTGCGACTGAAGTGGACAAATTGTACGAGAAGGGTAGATTTGATAACGGTCTCACGCTGGATGTGAAACCGGCCCGAGGCTATGAACTTCAACCAGGTGAATTAGTGGGACAAGCTTCTCAAACAAAAAGGGATGAGATCTGGGATTGCTTGATGAACGAAGAGGTGCTCCGAGTGGGTGTTTGGGGACAGGCGGGAGTGGGCAAAACCTTACTCGCGAAGCATATACATGATCAAATAGTGCAAGATTGTCCAAGGTTCGATGGTGCTTGTTTGGTCGCTGTATCGCAAGAAGGCACTGTTGGTACGATACAAACTGATATTGTGAACTATCTCGAACTAGATTTGACGGGGGCGAGCGCTGTTTACTGGGGCGCAAGACTGAAGGGGGCATTGCAGGGTAGGAAACTCCTCCTTATCTTGGATGATGTTGGGAAACCTTACTCTCTGGAAGAAGTGGGTATAGCCCTCGAGAGAAATGGATGCAAAATGATTGTGACATCACGATCGAGGGAGGTGTGCGAGCAAATGGATTGCCACGAGCTTGTCCATGTACCAACTCCTCCCGAGGAGATCCCTCACGGGCTGGAAGAAGTATCAAAACTAGAATCAGAGGGGTTGGGCATGTTGGAAGAGGGACGGTGGGGGTCTGAGGCCGTTGACGAATTCGTCTGGGGACGTTAAGAGGGGCACGATCATCTGTGATTCCATTAACCAACTCGGGATCTGCAGATGTTTCAAGTTAGAGAGGATTTTACAAGCACCTCTCTTCGCATCATTTCCATTTAACCTGATGTAAATCAGAAGAAATTTTTAGTTTTCATTCTTTCATTTTCTGGATCATTGCAGCATCTGGACTAAAGGGTTTCTTTCTTCTTTTTGGTCTTTTCGTTGGAGGGTGGGTGTGGGTGTTTCTCTTGATGTCATTTGCATTAGGGCTGAGCACGGTTTCATGGTAGAATCGGGAACCGAAGAACCGAACCGGCGGATCCGGTTCGGTTCCCGGTTCTAGGGTGCGAGGTTCCGGTTCCCGGTTCTAATTTTTTAGGAACCGCCGGTTCCGGTTCCAGTTCACGGTTCCTACAAGAACCGGAACCGGAACCGGACCCGGAACCAGAACCGCAAGCCTAAAACAAATAAAAACCCTAACTTTCTTTTTCTTCCCAAATTTCCCCTCGCTCCTCCATTGCGCTCTCTCTCCCACTCCCCACACCCACGACTCGACGAGACCCTCTCGCCTCTCCTCGCTCCGTTCGGTGTCCGCCTTGGCTCTTCCTCTGTCTTCATCAACTGCGGTCCAGCTCATTCGTGATGGAGGTGGGCTTCGCTTCAAGGCTTCAAGCGACATCCTCTGTCTTCGTCTTCGTTCGGGCTCACGCGCCGCCGCATGCGCACCCTCTTGAGCTCGCCTTGGCTCTTCCTCCTCTCGTCTCTCCGCAAGATCGGCGCCGCTTCTCGCTGGACGTGGTTCCTCTCCAGTCCTCGCACTGTAGAAGAGATCTTCAAGGACTACAGCGCCCGGTGCACTGCCCTCGTCCACGCCCTCACCTATGGTACTGATCATTGCGCGGTCGCCCCCCTCTTTGGATCTTCACATGCATGCGTTTTTTCTCTTTTTTTCTTGGGTCCGAGTTTGAATGCGTGCACCGTCTGTGTTTCTTTTAGTTCTTTGTTTCTGGCTTGACGCCGTTGTTGGTGTTGGGGTGAATTTGTTTCAGATGTGGATGAATTCTACTCGCTCTGCGATCCAGGTGAGGCTCGATGTACTTTGGGTTTGTTGTTCGTTGTTGTTTTTCCTTCGAATTAAAGGGCAAATGCAAGATCGCTACTTTACGCTTTTTAGAGAAAAAGGTTTTGACTTTAGCTTGTGCTGCAATTTTGGAGAAGCGGGATGAGGTACGTGGGAAATGGGTAACTGCTGTTAAGTGATTTTTCTAAGAAACTATGGTCAATTCGATTGGGGAAGTGGCTGTGATGGGTTGATAAGAAAGGGGGTTAGTGTGCTTTAAGTTATTGTTGGTTCTTTTCATTCATGATCTGAAAGGAAATTCTTTATCTTTTGCTTTGAAATCTTAATGGGTATTTCAGTTGTGATTACGTACTCCAAATGTTAAAGCACCTTTTTTTCTTTTGGGGGGAAGGGAGGGGGGGATTTAATGTTTTCTCTGTTTGATACGAATGATTAAACTGTTGTATCTGTGGATGGATATTTTACATTCAAGAAATGGAGAATTTGTGTCTGTATGATCACCCAAATGAATCGTGGGAGGTGGCTCTACCCGCCGAGGAAGTTCCTCCAGAGCTTCCTGAACCAGCCTTGGGCATTAACTTCACTAGAGATGGAATGAAACGCAAGGACTGGCTGTCTTTGGTGGCTGTGCATAGTGACTGTTGGTTGCTCTCTGTGCCTTCTACTTTGGTGCTCGACTTAACTGCAATGAAAGGTACTTTCTTTTTGCCTGCACTTGCTGAAGATTGTCATTGCATATGCGGCATACTCAAAGGATCTGTTGAGGTCAATATTGTGATTCTGGGTGCCCTACATCCCAACTCAGCAAGGCAGCCAATTAATCACGCAATTAAGAGATACCAACATAAATTTAATGGTGCTAGCTTATTCTAGTAAAAAAGCCATTATGTAATCTTTCGCCCAAGTTTGGATTTTGAATTAGGTACAGCAACTTGAAGTGTTCTTTTTAAATATGACACTTTGGGAATTTCATTTCCTAATCTGGTTCAACTGTTGCTTCTTACCCTGTCACACGAAGTCTTCTCCTCTCCCTTCAATCGAATCAGAGCTGTTACAATCTCATTATGTATCCTTATAAATTGGTCCATTTTTTGAATGTGTCTGCTCACAAATTGAATGACTCTTCCATTGGCCTCTAGTTTGCAGTTGGATATATAGAAGAGGACTTAAAGAGACAGAGCTGAAGAATTCAAAAGATAAATATGATGGTTATGATTTACTACCTTTGTTAGACCGCCACAAATGCTTGGAAGTCGTAGTTGCAGCAGTTAAGGATGCTATATTAGATTCAATTTTAGATCTAAAAAACCCCAAGGTAGAGCTCCCTCCCCCCTTCTCTCTCTATCTGTCTCTCATGTTTATCTGACATCTTTTATTGTAGATTTCTGTTCTGGTTGAGCTGTTACCCCTTTCGGCTGTTCCAAGTGGGTTGAAGATTAAGATTAAATTGGGCGAATTAGGTTCATCAGCGTTGCCCTTTTTTTCCTTCAACTTCCTATCTTAGTTTTAGTGCATAGTTGCGATTTTCATTATGTGTGCCAGTCTCTTTGATGTTGCGTTCTATCCCCTTTCTATTAAGAAAACTGTGACTTTTCAATAACTAGTTTTTTGTATTCTCTTTGATGAATGACAAGCTTGTTCATTTTCGTTTTGGTTTAACTAAAAATGAAAAAAAAAAAAAAAAGAACATGTTGGAACCTGGAACCGACCTTAAAACTTGTGACAGGGTAGGTTCTAGGTTCTACATTCTGACGGGTAGGTTCCAGATTCCAAAAAATGAGAAATCTGTATCCGAGGGTAGGTTCCAGGTTCCAGGTGAAATCTGTGATGAACCTGGAACCGCTCATCCCTAATTTGCATTGGTTTGCTAGAAAGTTGGGGGATCCACCGAATGACTTTTCTCTTTGCCTATTCATGTACGAATTCACGTGCTTTTGGTTTATGTTCCGGCCAAGCGCTCTTTTAGCTATTGTGAAACTGTAACAGCCTGAATTTCGATGTAATTTCGGGATCAATAAAATTGACAATATTTCGCATTTCATTTTAGTAAGTCTCGCCCAGAGCTGATCACTCTCGGGATACTAACCAATAGGGTATGACTAATTAGAAAGCGGTACGTGGACCAAGGACCCGATCGCGAAGCGGACACCGTTCACGAGAAATGATGAGAGAATATTATGAACCAATGTGGATCGATCTTAGGAAAGGTAACGGACTTGGTTTGGCCAAGGCCAACAATGTACAATCGGATCGCAGGTGATTCTGCACGACCGAGAGTACACGTGGTCAACCAGTCCTGAACTTAAATCGAACGATCGTGACCTCTGGAACTAGTGATAATTTCTCATTCTCTCAATGATGAGGACCGTCATGAATCGGATAACCCTAGGTCGATACGCGTAACCTCTAGACAGCCGACCGTTAGTGAGAGACCCTGAAATTGGAAATCGAGCGAGTTTTGATCACGAAATTGGGCTCGGATTTCGATGTCGAATTTCGATGGCTTAAAAGACTATTCTTAGAAATCTGACGTCATATTATGCTGGCCACGTATATTTTGAGTTAATACAATTGAAAATTGGAATTTTGGTCAGGGTGAAAAATTACGATTTTGCCCCTCGGGACACCAGCGTTGCTTTTCGAGGCCAAATGAGGTTATTTTTCGAGGCCGACGCCATTTTTGGGTGGCCACGCATACCAGGAGTCGTTATGGCCAAAAATTGGAATTTCGACAATAATTGGAAAAATAATATTATTTTATTCCCGGAACTTCGCAGTCGATTTTCGAGGGCTTAGAAAGTGAATTTCGCGATTCCGACGCCATATTATGTTGGCCACGCACGTGGAGGGTTGGTACGGGCGAAAATTGGAATTTCGCCCCGGGACCGGAAAAATGACCATTTTGCCCTTGGGCTATGTTCGGGTCTGAATTTTTGGGAAATTATTTGGGATATTTAAGAGTGCTTATCAGCTGCATTATTGGACCAAAAGACCATTTTGCCCCTCAATTATTGGATAGGATTTGTTTAGAACCGTTAGATTAGGGGCATTTTGGTCCGAACCGTTGGATTGGCGACACGTGGCACTTGTGGGCTGACTTATTTGACCATCAGACCACTCTTTCTCTCTCCTCTCCCCCTCATTCGGCAGAAGCACCACAGATCAGCCCCCACCAGCAGCTTCTCCCTCTTTTTCTCTCATTTTTCTCTCTCGGCTTGGCTTGCCGGAGCTCGCCGCCGGTCATCGGAGCACCGCCGCCGGCCGCCGTGCCTCGCCGCTGACCACCTCAACCCCTAGCCTCAGCCTCACCCTTGTCCGGCTCCTTTCTCTCTCTTTCTTCCTCTTTTTCTCTCTTTCCCGTCCGGCAAAAAGGGCCGCCGGAGCTCCGATTGCCGTTCCATCGCCACCCAGCCGTCCAGCCCGCTCGTACGTCGCTGTTCATCGGCGGCCGTACAGTGTCCGTACGGTCGGCACTGTAGCAGTCCGTACACCGCCATCTGTACGGCCGGCCGTGGCCGTCACCGCCGTCTCACCGGCCACCTGTTTTCGCCGTCCGTACAGGTCCGTACCGTCCGTGAACAGTTCGTCCGTAGCGCCGTGAACAGTACCGCGTGAACAGTACGTGCCCCGGGAATTCCGTCGCTAGTTTCACTATTCATCAGTGATCGGCCGCCGTTCCCCGTCGCCGTGGTCCAGAAATTAAGTGACTAAAATTCCTAAACCCGGATTAGGACTGATAGTACATTTTTCTGGACTGGTTTAGGTATTATCGGTGCATTTTTGGACTGGCTTAGGTAATATCAGTGTATATTTCAGACTGGGATGAGGACTGATTGGTAGAAATTATTATTGGGAAAATTTAGTGGATTAATGAGAATTATTTGGGGAGATTAATTGGATTAAATGACCAATTTAGGAGCCCATTGGAAAATTACTGGGTATGTCCGGGTTGACTGGTTGTACGTAATTTGTGCTTAATTGTGATTGACTTCGTACTGCCATGTCACATGTCGTGTGGTTGAATTA